TCACTTCTGAGTTCGATTTATCGCGTCCAGACTAGACGCGATAAATCGAACCCAGAAGTTTGATTGCCTGCCGCCGAACCAGCGCGGTAAGTATAGACAAGCCCTAAGAGATTAATTAGGTAATATTTGTGAAGGCTTTGAAGATGGTGCACCTCACAAAACCACTCTGACAGGCAGACACTGCTCCAAAGACATTCCATACAAGACAGACAGGCCTCTTTCCATTAGACAAGTTACGCAGGCGGAGCCGCAGAAGGAAGCTTGCACTGAACAATGGACGTGATTTTGATTTGTTGCATCCTGAGTAACTGCATGTACATTTCGAGTAACTACTGGATTCAATGGAGTTACTTTGCTGTATTAAAATCTGACCTGATCTCTCTTACTCACTCTCTTAACTTTAAAATCAACTCACAAGCTGTTTAAAAGAAACACACACACACTCAAAAGTCTGCAATTCTCCCCACTGTATTTATTTTACTAGGAAAACAGTCCATATCAGGAGAGGACAAAACAAAAGAGACAGCAGCAGCATAAACCCCAACCCAACTCTGAATAATTCAGACACTTTGAAAAGCCTTAAATCATCCAATGTATCTGCTGGTGCCTGCCTGCCTCTGCCGGACGCTGAAACGTGTCAGCATTCATATCAGGTACATGAGGCAGCATTACAGCTGAACGTTGCCTCCCATGGCTGGTAGGTTTGGCAGGAATGGCGTTGTTAACAGAAACATTTCGTTTGCGTGTTGTTGTTGCTACATCATCACATTTACAATGAATCAGAACAGCAAGATTTCCATTCAGCTCAGTTCTACCTTGACCTAAAAAGAAGTTTTGTAAGGACAAAACCCAGTGCCTAATTACTGTATGTCAGATTCACCAAGTACAATGTGTTTATAGCGGAAGAAAGATAATTAGCAGAGCACCCATCTGACTATATAGCAAATTAGTCTCATATAGGCAATAAATCTCCCCACCGCCCAATAAAACATTTAAAGCTACAACGATGCAACAATCTCTTAGAAATATTCTCTTGGGTGCAACAATTGCACTTCAAAAATCCTGGAAGTTAGTCTCCTTGTGTTATTTTTTTAAACAATCCAGAACACCCAAACCTTTTAGCAGTTACATGTCAGTCTCACTGACTTGGCATCTGCATTCACACGGAAGGCATGTCAGGATATAACGGGGTACACAAGGTTGACCATAATTAGGACTGATCTGTACAGTAAGCTGGAGATGTTCATTTTGCTCTGTGTGTTTGTCTCTTTCTGGTTGCAGACACAACAAGAGTGCGCTTTGGCTGCTTGCCACACTTTTGGCATTATATAAACAAGAAAACAGAGGCATTTCCTTGGCAAAGGCTTTTAAGCAAGAGAACGTTTGAAGTTCTTTGAACCTGTGAAGTGCTATATAAAGAATTATCATTACAACCAGAACAGAGGGAAACTTCTAATATAGTTTTCTTTTTATCTTCTACATCAATTGTAGATAATACAGTAAAATCTGCAAATGTCATCTGCATAGATCTATTGTTTCAGCCCGTATCCAGCACGCCCAGAAGAAAACCTTAAAACTAGGAATATAACACGGTACAGTTGCATAGCTAGCCTGGGTAATGCCAACTGCAGTTTCAAAAGCAACTGTATGTGACACGGACGCGGGATTTGGAAGCAAAATGGTCTGATTGGTAGGGCGCATACAATTACCCAGCATGCTTGTCCAGCTCACAGGGCTCTGAGCTTTCAGAGCAAACTCAAAAGTTTGGCTGTGCTTTTATGTACACTTGGGGCTAAATTCCACCCTCTAATGCGTCCACAGGGCAGTCACTGAAATCACGGAGCCATAGATGCACCAGAGAGTGTAGTTTAGCCCTGGATTCTTTTTTAGTGTCCGTC